TCTCTCCCTCCCTCCCTCTCTCTCTCTCTCTCTCTCTCTCTCTCTCTCTTCAAAAATTTTCCATTTCAATTATTCTGTCTAATATTTTCAAAAGAAAGAGAAGAAAAATATATTCCTTATATATTCCACTTCCATCAAATGACAAGAGTGAAACAATTAAAAATGAGACAAACCGTTCATATACTTGGAGAGTGAATGCATGACCATGTCTGCCCCCAAAGATAAAGGTCTCTGAAAAGAAAAATCAATATGCTCAGGTCAAGAGCAAGCACTTCAAAAGCCCTACCAGATAAGAAACCAGATCTCAGTCAAGGTTGTAACAAAGTACACATAAGCAAAACATTATGAATATTCAGCCCAGTTCCCGCCTAGTGCAGTTTTTGGACAGACTTTGGCCACACTTTATAGACTTTGAATGTGACTGATACTGACATTATAACATACAGAAATGAGTTATTGAATTTCATTTCATTTTATTTTATTTATATTTTATTTTATTTTATTTATATTTATATTTTATTTTATTTTATTTTATTTTATTTTTATTTTATTTTATTTTATTTTTTTTATTTTTTTTTTGGGGGGGGGTGAATATGAGGAAAGATCAAGAGTATCATACTGACAGGCAAAATAGTCAAAAGGTGATGGTGACAAATGCTTTACTCACACCCCAACACAATTTATGTCACTGAAGAGTACAGGAGGTGGGCTGTTTCAACTATTCCTGCCAGAAACAACTCAGGTTGTGTGAGAATTACATCCCAAAAGGAAAAAGTTAGTCAAAAATAATATTTTCTGCAATTAGGAATCAACCCCATGCCTCTTAAGTGAAAGTTGGAGAGCCAACCACTCAGAGTTTAGACATCGATCTGCCTTATTACCTACCAATCAGATTAGTGTTTTATATTAACTTGAGAAGCAGATTGATGTGACAACATTCAATTTGAGGTGGGAAAAGAAATATGGGCAGACAGAAGCAAAGAATGACCCAAAGAAGTAGATCCACAAGTGGTGCGTGGTACTCTCCAACCACCCACTTTTGGAATGATAAAATTAGTTTAAAAATCATAATTTTTGTTACATAGGAGAAATACAATTTTCAAAAACATGCATAAGAAAAGATAATCACACTCTACCACTAACAAAGTTCAAAGCAAAATGAGTAGACAGACAAAAGACACTGGCAGCTATGAAAATACATCTATCCGGGAAAGTAAACGGAAAATACGATTTTAAAAAACCCCTAAAGAACTTAAATTGTGTGTAACAGCTCGATTGACAGAACAACATCAACATTCATCAATACGTAGATATATGATATTTACTTCAATATATGTATCAGACCTTCAATCTGTCTTCCTTCCTTTTTCAAAATTCTCACAACAGTGGAAAAATGCTGAAGGCTTAAGGGCATTAAACACACACAAAAGACCAAAAAAAACCAAGCATCTGGCCATTACATACTTTATCTCTAAAATGACGTATGTCATGCAGGCAAATACACCCCCCCCCCTAAAAAAAACCCAAAAAAACAAACAAACAAACAAAAAATCAACAACAAAGACAACAAAATAACTCTACTCTCATGCAAAAACTTTTCTGGTTTTTCATAATTACACCAAAAACTCACCTGGAAATACGAAGACATGAAAGTGTTGTCCACAACAATGAAGGGCTTGACCACCCAACTCTCTGTCTCTGCCTTTACAGCCTGGCACACAGCAGCAATGTCCACAATCTTCAGTGTTGGGTTGGTGGGGGTTTCAATCCATACCATCTGACAAGAGAAGCAGGGAGGGAACATCCTTATTATTGAGTTGAGAACTTCTTTCTGCTATGCTTTCAATTCTTTTGAACAATGCTCCAAAAAGGTGTTTGTGTGTGTGTGTTCGTGTTTGTGCATATGTGTGAGAGAGTGAGAGTGAGTGATTGAGTGAGTGAGTGAGTGAGTGAGTGAGTGAGTGAGTGAGTGAGTGAGTGAGTATGTGTGTGTGTGTGTGAGTGTGTGTATGTATGTGTGTGTGTGTGTGTGTGTGTGAATGTGTGTGTATGTGTGTGTATGTGTGTGTGTGTGTGTGTGTGTGTGTGTGTGTGTGTGCATGCTTGCATGGTGTGTGTGAAGTAATGGAATAACCATTCGACAAAGATTATAAAAAATACGTTCATAAACAAAGGCATGAGTTCAGTCATTTTACATAAACTGCAGTGACGCTCACTGTTACGACTACAAACTGATCAAGACATAAAATTTGTGAAAAGAATTTAAAAGAATATATATATTAGAGTGCACCAATGACCACACATATGTGGCCTGTGAAGGAGATACTGGGCTTGAGCTTACAGTGAGTCAGCACGATAACAGACACATTTCACTAAGGCTTCTAAGTAAAATTACTCACACCAACATAACAATGGCCCCCGAGTCGAGTGCAAGGAAAAAGCAAGCTAGACAAATAGAAAAATGACACGCGGCAAAAAAGAAGTAGGACCTACCTGTGGCACCCTCCAACCACCAGTGAAATTGCACCATGAAAAGATTCAGACAATAGAAGCACCAAAAGGAAGTCAAAGGAACATACTGGAGAGACTGCACATCATGCATGTATGGACCATGAAGGACCTTTTCACTACACATTTAGTTTTAGTATGAGTTTTACGGCACTTGTAACACAATCACGTAATGTAAGTGCCAAAGATTAGAGGTGTTACTGGAGAGGAATATACAAACAAAAAGTAGTAGAGACAAGAATAGCAGATGTCTGATAGGAAAGAAGGGGCAAACCACATCAGATCACATTGTTGGTGTCGCAAGCAATCCACTTAAGCCTGTCTCGATACTTTTTAAACTTTTTACACCAGAGTAAAAGAAAATAGTTTTTGTTGTGTTGGTCCAATCTGGAATCGTGAACAGCAAGAAAATTGTAAGCCTTGACCATGGCATCAAACTGCATTTTGGAGATGTTGAAAGGTGCACCTTTGATAGAGTTTCAGGAGGGTTGAAAATTCTCAAAATTTGGATTTAAATGTACTGCTTACGACAGTAACCACATGTCATACACCCACAGACCATGGAGAAGACAATGATAACAGCACTTGTAACCACAGAACAGAACACAGGATCTAGAGTTTGAGCAGAGAGAAGCACATCAACACAGTAATAGCCATTCAGTTTTAGTTTTAATGAAAGTTTTACAGCACTTGCAACACAAATAGGTTCTATAAAAGTTATATAAGGAAAAGCTGGCAGAGAGATAAGGATAATAGATGTTTGGCAGGTAAGAAGGAGCAAAATACACCACAGCATCCGCCAACTACTCACAACTTTTCAGAGCAGGGGCAAAGTAAGACACACAAACAGAAATTGCAGAGGGAAGAGAAAAAAGAAATCAGACCTATCAGTGGTACCCTCCAACTACCTACAAAACCTTCAACAGAACAAATAAACAGATAGACATCCCAAAATGAGACTGCACATACCTTAGTGTTTGGCTTGAGAGCGTTCATCACATTTTTCACCTCAGTACAGTCCACCATTGAGATGTCCAGCCCAAGGTTCGCGGCACACTTGTTGAAGTAACGGTTTGTACCTGGTGATTCAAAATACGTATCAGAGGGGAGAGGACACCGCATTTTAAAAAAACACTTAGAAATATTATCGGAGGAAGTAACATCATCACACTCTTTTAATTTACTACCTTATTTTCATAACATACCAGTTTCTTTTAGCAAACATTGGCATTCATATCAAATAATTTAGATTTGCAAATCTTTCTTAAAATATCCACGAAAACAACTGCACCCTTTTTAAAGTGTTTTTTCTCAGCTTTGCGTTTTGCACAGTTCTTAACATAAAATAATTATGCTCAACACTGTCAAATATTGAGCTATTTTAGTTTTAAACTGTGGCCTGAAGGGCTTTCATAAGGCAGGATAATTTTGAAATGTGGAAAAATTATATAGAATGTGTTTGAATATCCAAGGCCACCGTATTAACATCAGAGTCGCTGTTGTATAGTGAGAGAGTAGGCACAATAACAACCACAGTCCACCAGGAAGGAAATCTGAGAATAATAATCCTGACCCCAAAAAAATAAAGAAAGAAGAAAAAGGCCACATCTCAGGACCCACAACCCATCTCCTAAATCAAAAGGCAGATTTCTGACCACTAGTAGCCCATTTCAAAGAAGAAAAAAAGTTAATGGCCAAATCAAAATTCTCAGTTCAAAGTTTCATCTTGACACAACAAATTATAGTGTACACAAAAGAAACAGACAGTAGAGGGCATACCTCCATAGACATCATCCATACAGATGAGGTGGTCTCCAGCTTTCAGCAAGTGAGTCACTGTGGTGGTGGCAGCCAGACCGGATGAAAAGCTTAGTCCTGGGGAGGACGCATAGAAAAAATAAAGTCCGTATCAGATTTTTTTCACACTGCAAAAGTAAGATTCTTTGTAATAATTCTGATGATACTTACACCTGTAACTTAAGCCTACACCTTCTCAAATGAGAGGTGTGACACATTTTCGATAAACTGATTTTTTGCAGAAATGTCTGGGCGGTTGAATCAGTTTAGAAATTTGGGAGTGGTGGATATGAGCGATTGATTTACTACCAGATTAGTACACTCTGTAATAACCTTTCGAACTCGGGATTTTAACATAAGGTGTATCCAAGGTTCCAAGGTTGTACTATATAAAGGGATCAAAAGTGATTTGTGGGTGCTCTGGTGTGGTTTGCTCTTACTTTTCTATAAAACATCTGTCATCCTTTACTTTACTTCTTTTTTGTGTTTGTTACTCTCCTTTAATTTTCAGCACTTATATGACCTAACTGTGTTGCAAGTGCTGTAAAATGCTCATTAAAACTAAACTAAAATAAGAGATTTTCAAAAATTATCAGTGTGAATACAAAGTTCACCCTTTCTTTAGCAATATGTAGTTTCTTGATGTTTTCAGCAGATGAGCTCTCAGGGACGTGTTCATTCTTCTCACGACTGATGACTGTCAGAATGTTTTGCACTTTGCACTGACTACAAAAATTATAACATAAATCTCTAAAACTGAATTTCAGCTGTCAGTGTGGACAAATTTGCATACGGACCACAGTATTGATCCAGGTACTCGGGTGAACAGGGATGTAACAAGATACATGCACAGCCACTACATTATACCTTTGCCTTCACTGGTCACTACAATTCAACCAGGGAGCTCTCGTAGTCTAGAGGTACAGTGTTCGCCTCTCGTTCAATGGGTCCCAGGTTCAAAGCCTGACAGTGACAGACATTTTTTTCCACTTAAATACTCTCCTTTCACCACCTTTCCTGCTCTCTAATTATGTTCTGTCATCTGTTTTCATCTCCACTTTTTGCCCCCCACCCCATCCCTTGCCCCCAACCACCTACTCTGGGCTCTTGACTCTTCCTACTGCTACTCCTGGCTCCTTCTTACTGCTGTCTTTCAGCCACACCTCTGATCTTAGGATAGATAAGATTGAACACTTAGTCTTCTCAGATAAGGGTGAAAAAAATCTTGGAGGTCCTGTGTGCAAGTTTCGCACGTTAAAGATCCCTTAGTGGTCCTAAAATCGATAAAAGTAGGCTTCAGCCCCCACCCAGGCGAAATTCAAAATAAATTCCTACCAAAATCAAAATGCTTCATGTGTCTTGCCCGCTCATATGACCTTTTGCAGTTGCAAGCATCTCAAAATGCTCACCAAAACAACAAAGCAAACAGTTGAACCTTTCCTAGACAACCACCACAATGAGAAAAGTAGTCATCTCAGATTAGAAAGTCCTCTTGGACAGTGTCATTTAAAAAAAAATCAAGGCATGTGAGAGGGGGGAGGGGTCGTTTGTACAGGTGGTTGTCTCAGACAACTGGGTGTTGGAGCAGGCTCAATTGTATGGTGCGACAGCTTGACAACAAAAGAATGGCATATTTTGAAGGAGGAGCACAACCAGGCCAAGTGGTTACTAAAGAAAAGAAGGAAGAATAGAAAGAAGGAATGATCATCAAAGTAAACACCAATCACTATAAAATTATCAAATTTTCACTCATGAGTACAAGAATATGTTCCCCCATTAGAAGGGAGAACCCCCCCCCCCCCCCCCCCCACACCTGAGGAGGGGGATGTACTGTTAATAATAATAATAATCATCATCATAAGAAATAAGAAGAAGAATATAATAATAATAACAAATAACAACTTTATTGAATAATTATAAAAATGTAGTGCGGTTGTGCGCTATACAGATGCTATTTATTAATATTAATTATTACTTAATTTTTTTACAGTTTAGTTTTAGTAGAGGATTTACTGTGCTCGCAACTGCATAAGGTCATATGAGCATCAGAAGATTCAAGGTGTTACAAGAGAGTAACAAACATAAAAAAGAAGAAGGGGAGATAAGGACGATAGATGTTTGATAGGAAAGAAGAAGCAAACCACACCAGAGCACCCGCCAACCACCCATTATTAAATTTTGTTGCAACATAAAGTAAAGTACATTTTTCAACTGACACTTACGATGAAAAAGTTTTCAGAGCTACAGAAAAGAAAAGAAAAACCTTCCATAATTCTTACTTCATTTCTGTTGTTAGCAATCACCAGGACAGTACAGGGACAGAACAACCTTGTTAGCTTGTCAGCATTTTGCCGACTCGGCAGTTTAATAGCTCAAAAGATCCACAGTGAATTTAATAGGACATAATTATGCTGACTTAACGCTTGGTTAGGCATTTGCATAGATAGTCAAATTTACGTAATGGGATAGGCGAACAAAGTTAATTAGTCACAATAGGATTTATAACTCCCTGCTACCTGGCACATAACATAATTATTCGAGTCCACATAAAGAGACATTAACAAGGCAGTACAAGAACCACAGTGGGACACACACACCATTACTTTTCATAGCTATAGCTGTGGACTAACAGATGAGACAATTCCTATAAACACAGAATGACAGTATATATATATATAACAAATTTAGTAATTTAGGGGTCATTTCAGGTGAGTCAGACGATAGTGACGACATTCCGCCATGAACCCATAAGATGTCTAATTGCAATGCTTTATGCCCTCATTAACACAATTTAGACCATTTTATGAGATGGGCTGCTACCTGTCAAGGCCAGACCAGGCTGAGTGGAGACAGCATCCCAGCTGACAAATGGAGATACTCTGTAAAATAACTTCCCCATACTGGAATCAAACTTCTTTTGTTTGCAAAGGAAAAGAACCTATCCATTACACCACAGAAGCTGGTAAACAAATATGGTGTTGGTAGAGTGTATGTTATTTCCTGGGAAGCCGAGCATTTTCGTGAGTGTTCTGGGGTCTGTTAAGGTAACAGTACTGATTGTACTGCGCAAAGAATGTTTTAGTTTTAATAAGAGTTTTACAGCACTTGCAACACAATAAGGTCATATAAGTGCCGAAGATTAGAGGTGTTACATGAGAGTAACAAACACAAAAAAGAAGGAGGGGAGATAAAGACAACAGATGTGTGATAGGAATGAAGAAGCAAACTACACCAGAGCACCCGCCAACCACCCACTCCGCAAAGAATAAAGCTTGCTGTTGAGCAGGGATATGTGCTACACAAATGCCACTATTATTATCATTACTATTTTTATAATGCCATAAGTTTTTAGTTTAGTAAAAAGTTTAACAGCACTTGCAAAACAATAAGGCCATCTAATATGACATAAGCGCTGAAAATCTGATGCATTACAAGAGAGTAACAAACACCAAAAAAAAAGAAAGAGAAGAGAAGAGGACAAAAGATGTTTGATAGGAAAGCTTGGTGCTGTGTATGGGGTCCTTGCTGATGGATACAAGTGCCTGTCTGAAAGCTATGAACGTACGAGTGTGTTTACAGGTAGAGACACCCATAATATAATTTAATATTGAACAAAAAGAGCTATGCTTACTTCTTCTAAACATCATTAATGCCCTACACAGGTTCTTTACAACAATAATACAGGACAGCCAAGATATGATCCTTTTTCAATATTCACAAAGATGTCATTTGAAGATTGCCATGAATCTGAAAGAGAGATATAGTCACCTTGTCCTCTCACTTTACTTCAAAATTTACGAACAGGAACAGAAAACCAAGACCGCAACAAGGAATAAACCCGACTACTAGTAGTTTCTAATCCCCTGTCCTCTGTTTAATATATAAAAGAAAATATTTATAGTGCCATAAAGATGAATCAACATATGAAATGCTGATGAACATAGGAAAATAAACTCCAATAAGGAAATGTTCCTTAAATGGAGGTGAAAATGAGGAGTTGTGTTGTCATGTACACGGGGTCAGTGGACTAACTTCCAAATTTCCAAAGTAGGGAAAATAATAAAAATAAAGAGAAAAAGAGGGAGCAACCCATATCGGACCACCCATCAACTACCTGCAAAAAGAAGGTCAAGAGGATAAGGGGGAGAGGGATGGAGGGAGGAATTGTGATACAGAAAGAGAGATGGGAGAGAAGGGAGCAGAGAGAGAGATACAAAACACAAAATCCTGCGCGCACACATACCTTTTGCAATTACTCTCTTTCCTATTTGCGTGACTTGCTTCATTGTAAGTTTCAGGAGAAGTATAGATTCAATACCAGTCGTTTAGCTCTAACAAAAGGTAAGACAAACGGATTGATAGGTCAAATTCAATTACCAGCATTTCATGCTGGACAGATAACAGAAGAAACAGAGAGAGAGACAGAGAGAGAGAGAGAGAGAGACAGAGACAGAGAGAGAGAGAGAGAGAGAGAGAGAGAGACAGACAGAGAGACAGAGAGAGAGACAGAGAGGGGGAGGGGGGAGGGGAAGAGAGAAAGCTAGCAGGACAAGCTTTTACTTCATCTCTAGAGATACAGTAGTCTTCACCTAAGCTTATAGATATATGACTGCTTAAGATCCCACTGTTTTAAGCATTTGTACTTCACAAAAGTCACCCCTAACATCCCAATCTGAAGAAGTACATTTGGCTAAGATCCTGCATTTCAGATCATAATTTACTGAACAAAAGCCTCAGGAGGCGTCACTGATCAACCAAGAGTGAAAATCTGCCATCATTGAACTGCCCATTGCATCACAGATCATCCACTCTCATGAAAATATGAAAATGATCACAGCTACATTGTAAATCTCCATGAAACGGTACAATGTTTGTACCAGAGGGGACTACATCGAGGTGTGAACTTGTCGACACATTTGATTTCCCCCAAATATCGCACTGGCAACTGAGCTCTCCACTTGAACTTAATCAAAAGCTGGGTGAGTAGAGTAGGGCCTACAAGTCCACATCAGACGGGATCACATTGAACAGTGAACTTGTCGGTGCTTTAGTTTCCCTGACCATTGTAGCAATTGCCTCTACTCCCAAATTTGCGAGATAGACTGAATTTTAATTGGGCAGTCACAGCACAATCCTGCATTATGACAAGAGGAGGGAGAAGTCGGTCAGAGATGGAAAGCTATAAATTTTGGACAGGTACGGGGGAGGAGCGATAGAATCACTATAGATCTTCAGACTCACGATAGGATAATAAGTGAAAAGAGCATGCCTCGTGCCATTTTGATAAGTCACCAATATTGACCCCTCTTTGCTTGTCATAATAAGCTTACGTAATTACAACATTGTATTTCACCAGGAACGAAAGTAAGATGTCAGATTTATTCAAAAAGAAGTACTTCAAAAAGTTCAAATCCTACCTTCTTGGATGCATTTGAAAGGAAATTGTGTTTTGTACTCTGATGTTACAAATTAAAAACATCCGCTAATTTGAACATAAAACCTGATCTATCTTTTGTGTCATAAAATCCTAATCATCACATAAAGGAATTCTGAGAAGTATGAAAAAAGTAAGATAAGAGTACCTACCATGTTTTCCCCCCTCTGCAGCAGCAAGACATTTTTCCAGGCAATTTCTGGTTGGATTACCACTGCGAGAGTACTCAAAGCCCTGAAAACAAAATATAACATTTTGTCTTACAATCCTGTCAATCAAATTTTAAAATTTGAGGAAGAGCAATCATTCTCAGATATATATAGAAATACATCAAACAAAGAGCGAATTGCCAAATGTAATCAAGCTACAATTAGGATGTAATTACTTATTGGCATCCAGTTTTGTATGAGAGTAAGATGCCCTACTACACAAAGGTAATTTCAAAAGCAATTATTCTGTTTGTAGATTTACAGAAAAATATTTAGCAAAAAAACTACTGATGGATAAAGATGTGTAATAAAGCATAGGAAATGATGCACAACATGACATTCAAGTTTAAACAACCTTTCCTACTCTAAGAAAAAAAACAACCTTAACACCACCCCACCCCTCCCCTGTCCTCACACACACAAAAAATTGTCTGTAGGACTCTCACGGTCAGGATCACACTGACTGGGTCATTTAATATATAAAGCTCGAGAACATGAGTAAGCAAATTCATTTTCCTTTTTTCCCTTAGAACTTTGGCCCAGATATCCTGTTGAAAGGATAACCCTTAATCATTCCCTACTTCTAAATGTCTCCACAGACATCTCACTTACTGTGGTCGTTACCAAAGAAGAGAGAGAGGGGGGG